CAAATAAAAATGGGTTGAGTGAGCCAGCTCGCCACGAGCCGAACCCAAACGAGCTAGCTCGGACTCGCGAGCTGGAGTAAAAAAAAAAATTTACGTTGAAACTTGAAAGTGTTGATATTATTGGTATGATATTTTGATTTGGAGATAATTTTTTATGTATAGATTCGGATCTGAAAATGGTTTTTTGTACATGGATTAAGATCTAATTGTATATGAATGAATTAGGATCTAAAAATGGTTTTTTGTACATGGATGGATTATGATTTTATCTATTTGAAAATAATTTTTTGTATATGGATTGTGATTGTGAATATAAGTATGATTTGGATGTATTGGTATGTTCTTTTTATGTTGATATATCATTTGGATCTGATTTTATATAATTTGATATGATTTTTTTTTAGGTATTTAGAAAAATATGAGTCGGCTCGAGAGCCGGCTCGCGAGCTAAGCGGCTTGGGCTGAGCCAAAAATTTTCTGGCCCAAATAAAAATGGACTTAACGAGGTGGGCTGAAAATAAGCTGGCTCGAAACGAGCTGGTCCGAGCCGGCTCGTTTGACATCCAATGTGATAGCGCTGATTCATGTGCTAAACTCAAAATTGGAAGAATCTAATGAAACTTTAGATTGTGGACATTCAAACTATAAACTCTAAATTGTAACGAAAAAAAATAGATTATATAAAAAGTTGGGTTTTTTATTTGAACCTTAGCAATTGAAAAAAAAAAACAAAAGAAGCGCTTTGCCCATATCCATATGAATTACGAACAGAACAGAAAATGTGATTCCGTTTCCCGCCCATTTCCTGAAGGAACATAAATCCCCAAATTGAAAATTTCAAGCCTTTAGGTCTCTCTCTTACTCTCCCTCTCAATTGACCGGCATGAGCACTCCCATGGAGCTCTCACTCCAAAACCCTACGTCAGAGGAGATGATTATTAACCTTCAGAATCATTCACTGGAAATCTCTCATCAAAACCCTTCTGAATCAGTGTCTTTCACCGACCAGAATGGCGTCGCTGAGCCAAGCCTTGCAACAAATCCTCCATTGCCATGCCTACACGAACATAAATTTCTCGTATCTGGTACAGCAATGCTTTTCCCAACTCGTTTCCCCAGCTCCCAAGCTCCGATTTCTGTGATTCTTCCCCTTACGCCTTTCTCTGGTTTGTGTTTTTGCGTTTTGTGTTTGTGGGGTTTATCTTCTTCATAGTCGAAGTCTGCTTAAAACCTTCGAGCACAGCTCGATTTGAAGATGTACGAAGAGCTGTGGAACGGTATGTAAATACTCTTGTTCGGGTGCCTTCTTCTCTTGTTTGTCGACAATGGGTTAATTTGGATCTGATGCAGGATGTTGGAGAAGAGGAGCATGAGCTATGTCGATGGGCCGGTCCTGATTCCCTCGGATGATTCATTTCTTCTGGAAAACGTGCAAAAGATATGCATTTGTGATACGGGTACGATCTCAATTAAAACTTTCAATTTGTTTTTAGGGTTTCGGTGTTGTTGATGTTGGAGTTGTGCCCTTGTTTCTAGAGGAATGGGTGAAAAACAATGATGTTCTGTTGTTCTGGCAAGTAAAGCCGGTTGTCCATGTCTTCCAGGTAACTCTTGTCTTGATTGATTTGAGTAGGTACTGCTGCTATCTGGGTATCATCTGTACATTTGATTTAATGATGATCTAAATCCAGCTAATTGAGGAAGGACCATGTGAGGAATTGAGTGGAGATGGGCAAATGGCTAGTTTCAATGAATGGATTCTTCCTGCGAAAGAGTTTAATGGCTTGTGGGAAAGGTCTGTGTCAAAGTTTGGCCTCAATCACTTTCCAAGTTGTGACGGGTCTTGAGCAAGTTATTTAGCAGTCAGAGTCTTTTGCTTGTGCAGCCTAATATATGAATCAGGACTCAAGCAACGATTACTAAGATATGCTGCCAGTGCATTGCTGTTCACGCAGAAAGGTGTAGATCCAAATCTTGTATCATGGAACCGGTAAGAAACAATTGGTAGAATTTTCTGTATGGTGCTATACCGAGAAATTCCATACTGTGGTTCTTACTTGTGTGTCTGTTTTTCTTCTACTCTAAGAAGCTACTCTAAAGAACTTCAGAAATTAAGATGCCTAGCAAGCTGAAAATGTTTATATCTTAGTATGTGGTCATCTTTGTCTGATTCTAGTCATTTATTGATGTCCCACATCAAAATTTTATATAAGAGCACCGGGTTACAGCTGTTGAATTTCCATGCAGCATTATTCTGCTGCACGGACCACCAGGGACTGGCAAAACATCTCTATGCAAAGCCTTAGCTCAAAAGCTATCAATTCGGTGCAACTCCAGGTTCTTTTCTTAGAGTCGACTCGTTTATGGACTTTCATATTGTTTAAACTTGTTTTTGGATTGTCACATTGATTATATTTCTGTTTTGCTTCTGATTCCATTTCCTTTGTCAGATATCCACATTGCCAACTGGTCGAGGTCAATGCTCACTCATTATTTAGTAAATGGTTCTCCGAGAGTGGCAAGCTGGTATGAACAAAAAATCACCTCTGTTTTATTATATGTTCTTGCTTCTTCCTTGGTCATGCATTTAAACATCAGTTCGTCGGACATGCTAATATTATTTTATGGGTTCCTGGAATCAACTTCATCCCGTTTTGTGGCTAACTTATTGCTCAGGCCATAGTCGATGTAGGCAAACTCTTAGATCTTCCTCTTTTCGCGATCAGCACAGTTGCATCCTTTCCAAAGATAACACTAGAACAATTTTATTTCTAGACTGTTCCATAGAACAACTTCATTTTATACTGGAAAATCTTATAGTAGAGAAACAACTGACAACTAGTTAGTAATGGTTAGCAGGAAATTAGTTTCATTGGACAAAATGGGATGTGTTTGTGCTACTTAGTAATAGCATATATATACGTAATTGTTGTTAGCCACTGTTCTCAATTGCTAGTTTCTATCATGCACATATTAGGTTGGAACAACCAAAGAGTTCTTAATGGGGAATGTTGTATTATGTCTAAGAAGTTGATCTTGTATCAATATCACCATTTTCGCCATCTCTGTTGTGTAGCGATCATTTGTGCTTGTACAGAAACTGTACTAGGGTATAGCATCTTTCTAACTACATCTGCTAATTCTATAATCCAGGTTGCTAAGCTTTTCCAAAAAATTCAAGAGATGGTAGAGGAAGATAACAACCTTGTATTTGTTTTGATTGGTGAGCATCATAATGCCATAGCTCTTGATACTTGCATAGGCTTCCTTCTCCCTTTTGGTCTGAGATTGTTTTGTCTGCAGATGAAGTTGAAAGTCTTGCTGCAGCTCGGAAAGCTGCATTGTCTGGTTCAGAACCTTCAGATTCTATCCGGGTATTCCAACTTACTTCTAATTTTACTTTCATAGTGTAAAGATCTACTATTTGTGGAATTGCAATATAATGTTTGAAGACTGACATCGTCTTTGACATACACGACCCAGGTTGTGAATGCACTACTTACCCAAATGGACAAATTGAAATCTTCACCGAATGTGATAATCCTCACAACATCAAACATAACTACTGCTATTGGTAAGCTGGTTGTCCATTTTGTGGCCATCCTTCTGTTAATGTTTTGGAATTCATGTGAGAGTGAAGAATGCTCTGGAATCACAAGTCTTAATATAACTTGATCAGCCACACGCTTCTTGCAGATGTTGCATTTGTCGATCGAGCTGATATTAAAGCATATGTTGGCCCTCCGACCCTTCATGTTCGTTACGAAATTTTGAGGTCTTGCCTTGAGGAACTTATACGTAAAGGAATCATATTAAACTTCCAGGTACGAACTCAATCTTTTTGTTATTTTTCGCTCAACAAGAATCAATCCTTTGGTGTGTCTCATAAGCTCCACAAAAATCATCTTTCAGGGCTCTGATGAACTTGCTATTCCAAGCTTTTCTAGCCTGAAAGAGAAATCGAATATAACCAATATTCATGACATGAAAACAGTTCCCTGGTTCTGTAAACAATTGGTAGAAGCCGCTGAAGCATGTGAGGTCAGGCATTTGGGATTCCATCATAATGATTCTAGTACAGTGACAACAATATGGTAAAATTCCCAGTTTCCTTGCCTGATTTCGATAGTTTTCAACGCAGGGTTTAAGCGGAAGATCATTGAGGAAGCTTCCATTTCTGTCACATGCAGCGCTTGCAGACCCAAATGGCCATGACCCGAGTGAGTTCTTGTGTTCTATGATCGAAACCGCTAAGAGAGAGAGGTCTGAACTGCAGGAATGAACATCTTGTGAGCCGATAAGGCATGATCAACGGCATTGTCCATAGCAAGCGAATACATATGTTCATTATAAAGTAAACCTTGTAGGACAAAACAAGTATACTGAAATAGAGTATGATATGGAAGTTAGAGTTATAATGTTCTGGGATTAGTATGGATCATTACAAACCAGGGATGAAGTAACAAGTAGTATCATATAGTGTTGGAGGTGTACTTGATCTCGAACCTGCCATCGACGGGTTACCTGACTAAGAAGGTAGACGTATAAGAGTAATGCCAATTCAACAACCAAGATGTTCCCGCTAGAATAATTCTCCGGACGAGAAATTTTTTAATCTCACTAGTGCTGAAAGGTTTATCATGCTTTCCGGCTTATCACTATGCATTTACTAAAGGTCCAAACTTTAGGGACAATATAAGTGTTGAAGCAGAAGCACCTGATCATATGGTACTTGAGACCCATTTGTAGTTTCATTGTATTTATCAAAGGAGATTTGATTGTGCTTTGATCCTGTATACGTGCCAGATCTGAACAACAATCTGGTGTGCAATTTACAATGAAGAGAAACAAACCCCTCCTTTAAGTGACTAACAATCTGAAAACTTGTTTTTGATAATACCCCATATGAGATTCTCAGTGACTCAAGATTATCCTCTTTGTTCTGTACAAAGTTTCTAGTGTTTCCGTGACAAGAATCGGATCAAACCCAGAAAACAAACCAAGAAAGAGGGAATCTTTGCATTGACTCTCAAACCCTTGTTAGAACTCTCACTTGTTTCTTGTAGTAAACGTTGACCTGGTCATGCCCTAGCGTTTGAATTCAACAACTTTTGACTTGCAGCAGACAGACAGAACCTTCTGAAGGGTGTCTGGTGGGAGCTCTTGAAGGAGTTCTGAAACAGCAAGCTCATGCTTCCTCGTTAACTCATTCAGCTCCTCCTCGTGCTTCACTAATAATTTCTCGAGTTTGCTCCCTAAATTCTTGATCTCCATCTCCATCCCAGTTCGCATTTCGCTGCCCTCATCTCCATCACTCTTCTTTTCCTTGCAATCATCTGAAGTATGTCCATTCTGAACATGTTTGTTTAAGCTGTCTTCGTGCCCAATGGCGCCAGCATCCGATGATAACTCTGAGGCATGATGCTTTCTTAGAGAGTTTTCGTTTTCGGCTTTGCCCAAAGAGCAGTAGGTCCTACCAGACGGAAGTGTTTCCACTGAAAATGCATAAGGTGAATTAGTCTCCGCGCTCAAGGTAGATTTATCACTCGGGGCAGGAGAATTATCGTCTTCCCCTGTTTCACGATCATATGGATTTGCAGCAGTTCCATCGGGATTTTCTTCGTTGGATCCTATCGATGCCCAGTCTGGAATGTGGGATCTTATCTCGGACTCGATCATCTCAGCGATAGTTGAAACATCTTGGTCAGTCAGGTCAAGCTCCTCCACCATCTCAGAAGCAACAGAGGTCGGTGTATCTGCCTCGGTATTGAATGGGAAATGAATGTTGTGAAGATGACCTGAGACAAGCAAAACTATTCTGAATGTGCTTTCAAGAGATGTCAATAGAGATATACACATATAGGAAGGTAAGTAATGGAACCTGTGGAATCGGGTATTCGCAGTTTCAGAAATATAGTGTTCATATCTGTTCTTTGCCCTTGTACTGTCAAATCTATACCAGACTCAGCTGTAGCAGCATTTTCCGATGCATTCAATACATTGCCGGTATCTGCAATTTCTCGAGCCAAAAGTTACCATCAAACAGCTATGGACTGTAAGCCATGCAAGAGGGTAAATTTT